CTCTTTCAGGGTTTTTTTTTTTTTTTTTTTTTTCCTGGATTCTCTTCGGGGCCCAAAACTAGGTCATCAAATAGTACTCTTGCATGGTCACACATCTCTTGCATGGAAAATATTTCATTAGTATTTTGCTTATCTACAATCAAGAGGTTTAACATCATTTTCATCTTCTCCATCTTTGGGTTATGAGGAATAAAGCATCTTTTAAGTGACAAAGGTGTACCAGAGGCAGTACTGGCCCTAACAGCACTGTGAATTTATTAACACCATATAAGCATCCCATGAAGCTTTTTGTTTTACCTTGAAGAATAACATCAAGAATATCCCTTTTGTCTTCTAAAGATATCACCTTTCTTGCCCTTTTGACAACTTTCTGTGGTGCTGATGTCCTTATACTGGCTTCACCTTTATCCTCCTCAATAGTCACATCTATTAAAGCCATGTTTCACCTTTATGTTAATTAATGCAACTTGGCAATCAGTTACTAGATATTTTATATCCCTGAATGTCATGCACTGTTAACATATGATATTTAAACACAATATGGTACTATGAACAACACAAAGAAAAACGGTAATATATTGTTGTGGTACTCAGTGCAAATGGGACTGACTGTGTAGGGGACAATTGGTAGAAGAAGAAAAGAGGAAACAAATGACTCAGAAGCTTCTTCCTACCTTGGGATATAGTTAGAGTCAACATTGTGACAACTCAGACTGACTCCTATATACGCAATTCAAACATTTCGCAATTGCTGCAAAGGTTACAGAATTCATCCACCTACCCTCAAATTTCCAATAAGGACAACTTGCAGTTAGAGATGGATGAATATATTATAAATTCTACTCTTAAGTTATCTGAAAGAAAGTCGCTGTTTATATACTCAAGATAGCATTGTTGCTATGATTTCCCTATGCTGGACGCTGTGAATCCAGTTTTATGTGAAAGGCAAACGCAGCACAACTGTTATTTTCTGTAAGGCTACAGTTAAGTCAATCAAACATTATCCTCTGACAAAATGCAACCTCTGGAGACGTAGAGGTAAAAGGTCAGGCAGGCCCTGAATAAGCAATGCTCAAGAAACAACTACCCAAGAAAGAGACAATGAAAGAATGAACTAGCCCCTTTTCAATGACCGGCCACTGATACTTTACTTTTATCCCCTCCTCCTGGGAAGATAGAGCGAAGCCTGGCTTTCTTATTCTTCTCTTCAGGGGCCATGGGAAGTGGTTTGGAGCTGTGGTTGAGTGCTGAAGAATCCCGGTTGTTACTATTCATCCTCAATGGGGGAGCTGGGGGTTTCTCTTCATTATCCAGACCGTCAGACATTTTCAGAAACAACAGATCTCACAGCTCCTAAAGAAAAGGAGGATAAAACAGGAGTTAAGGAAAGAGAAATCTTAAAAAAAAAAAAAAAAAAAACAACTGCAAATACAGAGATTCTAGCATCTTAGAAACAAACATTTTGGTCTCACATTGTGCCCAGTTTTGTATTGATAATTTTGAGGTGCTGCTTTCCTGGAGGGAAGGGAGTTGCCTCCATAAGACAAATGACGCAATTTCCAAAAGAAGAAAGTGAAGACAATAATTTATGGCTTTTTGACGCGTATCCACAAATACATAAAGACTCTTGCTTTTTCCACAATGAAATTCTCTATTCTCTGCTGTCACTCAGTCTTTCAATGAACAATGTACAATCTTTCTTCTTTAAAAATACTATCCAGATGGTCATCATCGTCAGGTAGAAAAACTTTAGTTTGAAACGGACACAGACTTCGCTGTCGATTTTAATGGCCCACGACAATGATTTGTTAGTCACTTTAACATTGGGATGCCTTTGGGGTCTCTTTCTTATGCGTACCTGACTTACAAAATGCACCCTACTGTCTTATGAGAAAGAACTGAGAAACAATTCAATCAATTGGGCAGTTTCAGGAGAGTCAGAGAGCATTAAGCAAAATGATGCCTCATCTTCTCCCATGCAAGGAGAAGATAAAAGTGAGCCAAATATTGTCATGAGCAAAGAAGAACTCCAGATGAGAGGGTCACTTCCTAAGGAGATACCAAAACCTTGCTCCCTGTCATATTTTATATTCCACAAGAGGGAGCAACAAGAGAGTTGGCACACGTGGCAGGTTTTTAGCAACATATCTGCCCTTAATTTCTTTATTCTTTTGTGCCTACATGGAGTATATTCAGAGTTTCATCTGACAAGGACGGTAAAGTGAGCTGGAAAAGCATGGACTGCCCAAGGTGATGTTTCTGTTTCCAGGTGTTTTTCTACTCTAATGCAAGTACTTCCATTAGGGCCTTGACACTTGCCAAAGAGAGTCAGGTGCTGAAAGCACCTTCCAAGTGAACTAGCTTGAATACAAAGAAAATCAAACCACACTGCAACATAATCTTTGAAAATTCACTATCACCTGGCATTGATTTAGGTGCAAAAGAATGTACCAACCTCCCCAAGAACTATCACTTTATTCAAACAACATTTACTATAACAAACTTAAGTACAACAACAAAAATAGGGGACTCTTCATTAACTTCTGTAATGAGAAAATAATAAATAATTTTTTTAGCCTGCTAGTGATTGTAATGTGTTCATTGTTTTCCATAATGAACTCTAAGTTATATCGTGTTACGCTCAGAATGTTTTAAATTACTATATTCTAATGCTTTCAAATGTATTCAGCTAAGTTCTTCTCAATAAACTTAAAAAAAAAACAACCCACTGCCATCAAGTCGATTTCCACTCATAGTGACCTTCATTGGGTTCCCAAGGCTGTAAATCTTTAGAGATAGACTGCCTTTCTTTCTTCCACGGAGATGCTGGTGGGTTTGAACCATCGAGCTTTCAGTTGGCAGCCAAATACCTTAACCATTACACCATTAGAGCTCCCTACTTGACTATATGGTAGTATCAATATCTTCCTCATCTGCACATGTGACTGCCATCTAACTATCGTGATTTGGACAAAGAGACCTCTTTTCTTTTCCTTTGCCTAAGTTTCATGCTTTGCATTATTTTGATGAATTATGATCAAATTCTGTATCTTTTCAGTAGTCATGCTAGTGAAACTACTCAGTAATAAATGTCTTGTTGCAGTTACAATAATTTGGTAAGCCTTACATTTTCCTATAGACAGCTATAACACAGGTTAAAATGAAAACGCAACTGGAACGTCAAGGATTAGGTATATTCATAGATACTACAGAAGCACTAACAAATCTGTCCTGGAAAAAGTGCAGCCAGAATGTTCCTTGGAAGTGAGAATGGCCAGACTTCATCTCACCTACTTTGGTCATATTGTGAGAAGTGACCATTCCCTGGAGAAGGATCATATGCTTGGCAAAGTGGAGGGTCAGTGAAAAAGGGGAAGACCCTCAACAAGATGGATTGATGCACTGGATGTAACAATGGGCTCAGGAACAGCGAGGATTGTGAGGCTGGTCCAGGACCAGGGAGTGTTTTGTTCTGTTGTACATAGGGTCACTAGGAGTCTGAGCTGAATGGAAGGCAACTAATGACAACAACAACAACTAACACTAGTAAACATTTTAAGTAGAATATGAAACCAGTGCTAAGGGTCTATAGTTCCTTGGCATTTTGATTGTTGGTCTTTCTAAGTTCAATGATTCTCTGGAAGAGAAGTGAGTTTAAAAGACTGACTTCACCAGTGGCATTATTCTGTACTTGGCACATTTGTGGTTTCAATTTAATCACTGAGAATTTGCCATGAGAAACAGAGCGCTGATTTTTTGCTTTTCATTTTTATTATTATCTTTTTTTTTTTATTTGCTAGGTTCAGAAATAATGGACAGATATGAGATGATGATCATTGCATAAGCCTCAGCAACACAAAATCCAGCTTGGTAATAATAATAATATTTTAAAAGCTAGTGCAAAGGAACTGAACATTTGAAAATAAATATGTAGAAAAGACAGGTTTGTAAAAACACAAGTTTTTTTTCACAGCTGAAGAAAGCCACCAGTTTCTGGGTGATAGATATTTTCTAATGACATACTACTTAAATTTAGATGACAGATGTCAGAAAAATAAGATAAACAAAGTTGATCTTGCATAATAAGACAAGTAAGAATCCGCACCCATCAATTTCCTAGTGCAACTATGTAATTAAAATACTAGGCTCCTTTGTTCTTGATGAAAAGGTGTCACTAACATCAGAATAGGGAGACCTGGTGGCACAGGGGTTCAAGTGCTCAGCTGCTAAGTGAAAGAAAGGTTAGCAGTTCAAACCTATCAACCATTCCGTGGGAGGAGGGGTGGCAGCCTGCTTCCATAAATGTCAATAAAAAAACCCATTGTCATGCAGTCGATTCTGATCCACAGTGACCTTATAGAACAGAGTAGAACTACCTCATAGGGTTTCCAAGGCTGTAATTTTTATGGAAGCAGACTGCCACATCTTTCTCCCATGGAGCGGTTGGTGTGTTTGAACTGCCAACATTTTGGTTAGCAGCCAAATACTGTGCTACCAGGGCTCCTTTCTGTAAACATTAAAAAACTCACTGCCACCAAGTCGATTCTGACTCATAGTGACCCTATAGGATGGAGCAGAAGTGCCCCATAGGGGTTTTCCAAGGCTATAAATCTCTAAGGAAGCAGATGGCCTCATCTTTCTTCCACAAGGCAGCTGGTGGGTTCAAACCATTGACTTTTTGGTTAGCAGTCAAATACTTTAACCACTGCACCACCAGAGCTACTTCTGTAAAGAGTACATAGCCTTAGAAACTCTATGGGCAGTGTTTGTACAAGGAGAAATGTAGGCAGGCACAAATGTGCAGGCAGAAAGGACACAGGGAAAGGGTAACCGCAGGGAGGAAGTGGGAGGTGAGATGTTATACTTTGGGGAATGTAATCAGTGTCACAAAACAAAATGTGTATATGAAGTGTTGAATGGAAAACAAATCTGTTGTGTAAAATTTCACCCAAATCACAATAAAGAGTTGAAAAGAAAAGAAAAGAAACGCTGTGAGGCAGCTCTACTCTACAGGGTCTCTATGAGTTGGAATCAACTGCAGGCACAGGTTTTAAATATCAGAATGGCCTTTTTTGTTGCTAATTATCTCTGACCAGAGACTAGGTGCCCTCGCTTCTTTTCAGGCTGGCTGATTCCAACGCGATGGCAGTGAGTTTGGTTTTTGATTTGACCAGGTGTGTTTTTGGTTGTGCAGAAAGGTCTACTTGTGAAACAAAACTCAAACTATAATCTCCTAGACTGTGCTAGAAATTTCTGTCCAAAATTTCAAGAAGATACAATCGCTGTGGTCCGTTTTGCAGACATTCTGCAAAGTATCCAGCTTATATGGCATAGCTTTCTACTGGACAGCAAACTCATCAGGGGATACCGAGAGCAGTTTGAATAAACCTTTTGCAAAAATGGAAATGAAACTGAAGACCCAATGTCCAGTTCCACACTGGGGGCACGAAGCAGAGAAAGCAACTATCTGGGATATTTGGCTTGAACCAACCAATCACTCCATTTACCTAGACATTTAAGATTTGGTTTTGCTTAAATTATCCTGCTATTACTTCATGTCTTCATCACCCTTTACAAAGCACAACTAACCATTCTTTATCCTTTTCTAATGACTCCAGATAATTCTCCTTTATTTACAAAAGAATAGTGCAGGAGGTGTTGTCGTCTTTAACTCATCTTCAAAACAAACCAAATACCTTGGCATATCCCGGGAAAACTTAAGTCACACTTTGAAAAGACCAGTGGAGAAAGGGCAAGGATGTTTAAAGAACCCTTCGTGTTAATGTATTTGTTTCCCAACGGGGAGGTGTTCCCTACTATTGCTCAAATGAAGGGAAAAGGAGCCTCTGTTATGCTACGTTTGTAAACAATGCCAATTTATTAAACTGGGTCCTCCCTTGAGACAGCATTCTACAAAGGACACTATTAATGGATCACTGGTTGTATCTACCTATGATGTCATTATTTCCAAGATCTCAAAAGAAACTATTTTGTTTTGGGTGGCTGTTGGCTCTATTTCAAGAATAGTACAAAAGCACCATGATTCTCTAGTAACCTCCTCTTAATTGTCTATATTTAAAGTTTAACTGTTCTCTTTCACTTCTGCGATAGGATAGAAACTTGCAAGTGAGTGGCACATTGAATGGGTCTAGCCACAAGCCATTCATTTCATTTTTACAGCTTAGCCCTTAGCATTGTGGAGACCCAGTCTACTTTAATGGACACCTTGAAACAGTTTATTTCTGTCCGCAAATTGGTTTCACACTTGGCTACTAGGGTTTTCAGAGAAATTTCAAATGGTTTCTGATGATGATGTGTATTTTTGC